ATCCGATTTAAAAAAACGTATTATTATATCACCGTTACACCCTAAGGAAGGTTGAGTTCGAATTTGGGAAAATCGGACCAAAATTGCCGGACAAAATGTCCGCCGTTTGTACGCGAATAGTGTAAAAATAGGATAAATCAAGGTTGTGGACCCTGTATGGGTCAGAATTTTAATTCGATTTTGAAGAAACTTGAAAAGCATGGTTCCTTTCGATATTGTCGCATATCGGATCGTAACTTCCTGAATTATGGCCCCTGATTGTACGCAAAATCGCCTTTTTTAGCTTGTGGTCCCTCTGGAGGTCACAATTATTATCCGATTTAAAAAACGTTTGAATATTATCACTGTTACACCATATTGAAGGTTGAGTTCGAATTACGTGAAAATCGGACCAAAATGGCCGCCGCTTGTATGCAAATAGTGTAAAAATATGGTATATGTCTAGGTTGTGGACCCTGTAGCGGTCGCAGTTTTAATTCGATTTTGATGAAACTTGAAACGCATGTTTATAACCTAAAGATCTTGGTTCCTTTCGATATTGTCGCATATCGAATCGTAACTTCATGAATTATGGCCCCTGATTATACGAAAAAATCGTTTGAATATATCACCGTAACACCATAATAAAGGTTGAGTTCAAATTTCCTGAAAATCAAACCAAAACTGACGGACAAAGTGGCCGCCGCTTGTACGCGAAAAGTGTAAAAATATTGTATATCAAGGTTGTGGACCCTTTAGAGGTTACAATTTTAATCCGATTTTGATGAAACTTGAAATGCATGTTTATAACCCAAAGATCTTGGTTCCTTTCGATATTTGCGCATATCGAATTGTAACTTCATGAATTATGGCCCTTGATTGTAGGAAAAATCACTTTCGTTTTAGCTTGTTCTCGATCCATCTCTCAAAAATGTGGGCGTATTCTGCCTGGCAGCATCTGGTTTTCATTACTTTGACCCTACTATTACTGATATTTTACAACAAGATGATGTAACAAACTTTATTCATTTTGTTTATATGTGACCCTTGCTGGCAAAATGAATCGGAATGTGCAAAGTCTGATAATGAGCTACAGACAAAACAAGTGAAAATATTGATTTTGATCGAAATTGGGATTTTTACAAAAATGAGTCTATAAATATACTATCTATTGACCCAAAAATTAGTTATTTTTCTACGCACACAGCAGGACGACCAGTCAATCTCTTTACGTAATACTTGGCATCGTTGTGAAGCTGTGAACCTCTAGTTTATAAATATGGCCAAAGTATTACCAATAATCCCATTTTCAACGAATACAAACAGGTTTTAAAACCCTTACAATACGGTGCATTGTGGTATCATGACTGCATTCAGTGCTCACACTATCACAAATTGCATTTAAAAAATGAAAGTGGCGATCAAAATTTGATTTTGGCGATAATGTTTTGGGGTACTTCGATTCTTTCTGAGAACCGGCGGAAAAAAATCTTAAAATTCTAATCGTATATAGATTACTATCGAGTGTCAACCAAAACCATGTGGTGGCTTACTAACTATAAATTAATCAACTAGCTCAAAATCCGGATTGTGTCAATGAGTTAATTATCATGGATTAATGATTAGTTGATTGACAATTGCAAATGATATTAAGCCTTCCCCAAGTCATTATTTACTCTGAATAATTAATCCAAGCGGTGATTATTTGATATTTCGTTTCGTCTCAAAAAAATTATATTTGGATAGTTGAATTCCGTTTGCTGTGGCTTCATATGGCATGTAAAATATTCAAGCATGCCTAATTCGATATTATTCTTTCAAATACTATTATCAGAACAACGAACGAGTCGAATAGTGACAATTCTTGAGTGAGAAAAAGTCTGAAAATTGTTTCATTATACCGCTACCAAAATGCACTAAAGTGAACATGAGCATCTCTTACTAGTCTTACAATGGACTTTATAATACACTTACACATGAAATTGAAATTTCTATCATTCTATCAGATTCTGATACCATTATGCTACCTGAAAATAACAGTAGATCTATTGTACACGCAAAACCTTATCTTAATTCATGATCAGTTGTGTGGCAGCATCTTCCATAATCAAGAAACTAAACTTGATTACCCAGTCAACAATCTTAAATTCCTGAGCACTAACAAACGTGCTAATTAATTGGTGAGATTAACAGAAGTTATTCCCATAAAAGTTATACTATACAAAACCTAGATAACTAATGACAATGTATGGACTTTTCTCTTTTGTTCTAAATTATAACAATGAGAGAAATATTAAACGAAAAAATAACAAATATATGGCGTGGTTGCTATGTGATTTTGTTTTTAGAACATACCAACATCTTTAACTTGCTTTTTCTCAAACTACGTTTTCTGACTTGGGCAACTTCAAACAGATATAGCTCATAACAACCATACAACATTTTGAAGGTATTGATGTGGAGAATGTGAAAATAACAATAACTCAATATTCAAAATTTTCTCATTGCGACTTTATTTGCCAGCACGGGTCACATATTTTATTCTTATGCATGTAGTATTATTAGAAATTACAAAAAAATCTGCCACAAAACACATTGTATTTATTTCCAGTTCCATCTCTACACATAAGCTTAATAATTTAAAAACCATAAAATGGATCCCCACTAAATGAGAGTGAGCAAATGTAATTTGAATAGAGAAGAGTTTTTTTTAGATTTCTATTTTTCTGAAGCATGCAAAGTTTATTAAACTACTGAACTCTATCAATTGTTCAAGAGTTCTAGAATTCATTTCCAAAATAATTGAATTGAATGTGTTAACAAAATGATATAATAAACCTTATCAAAGATTTAACACAACACAGTTCTATGGATAACAATCACTATATTATATACACACGACGTGTCGACAAGAATTCACTGGTCGTTATAAAGCATACATATTACAAATGAGGAAAAAATTGTGACAGTGTTATATATAGGTACATTGAACAATAATAAGAGAAACCATAAGTTAACAATCATTTGCAGAGATATTGCCTTTTCATGAACACATCTTAATTAATAGGTCTTCAGCTCAGTTTTTAGAAAAATTACGCGAGACTTATTTGACTAGTTATAGAACACCTCAATCTCAATTGTTAGAGTTTTTGAGAATTTTTTTTCTTAAAGATATCTGTGATTCAGGAGAAATTAATTTTAATGACCAGTTTATGAACAGCTCTAAAACTCACTACTCTGGGTCACTTGTATTTATTGGTTGAATGATTAATAAATTGATTGACTGTTATTCCCCAGTAGAATTAAAACAATTATTTACAGATGATTAAACAGATTTGAAAATACACTAATTCTAGATCAGTGTTAATCCTAATGAAGAGTAAAACGAAAGACTTTATTATTCCCAAGTCATAACTGACCATTCACTTTTGCCTTAATCCACAATGTTCACATTCTATTTTCTCAAGTCGCTAAAACCTTGGCATGTTAATAATTGACTCTTCACAGTTAAACCTTGAAAACTAATAATGAACTCTGCAAAAAGTGTTATTTTCACCTCAAACTAATTGTCGGTATTGCAAATTATCAAACAGAACAACTTCAGGGCATCCATTCTGCTTGCATGGTGACAAGGTGAAATCCATGCTCTCATATCACTCCACTACAGAAAACACTACACTGGTTGCCGGTTCAAGCCAGGATCAATTTTGGAATATAGTCTCATATCTGTCAGTGTCTGGATGAAAGTGCTCTAATGATGTAGGCTACATATGAGATTTCTTGAAATTCTACATTCCATGTAGGCAATTACAATCAATGAACAGTGTTTTAGGTCATGAGACGCAGAAATCTATAGATTTTCAACAATTTCCAATAATTACTGCCAGAGTTATGGTCCTTGATCGCTTTGAAATATCTTGTGGACACTCTAGAGGCTAAAGTTAATATCAGATTGATCTTAAATTTATAGGCACTGTTTAAGGTCATGAGTCCATGAGTCGAAGAAGCCTATTGATTTTCAACTATTTCAATAATTACTACCGAAGTTATAGCCCTTGATCTCTTTGAAAAATCTTGTAGAAGCTCTTGAGGCTAAAGTTAATATCTGATTGACTTTAAACTTATACACAGTGTTTAAGGTCATGAGACAAAGAATCCTATTCATTTTCAACGATTTCTGATAATTACTGCCAGAGTTAAGGCTCTTGATCACTTTGAAAAATCTTGTGAACGATCTAGAGGCTAAAACTCCATTTCATTCATTCATTCACTCTAGAGGCTAAAGTTAATATAAACTGTTTAAGGTCATGAGACAAACAATTGAAACAAATTCTAATGTTTTCTGATAATTGCTTCATGGGTTATTACTTGTAATAAGATTTTCATGTGTTGTAAATGTCAGCCACGGTGGCTAGGTGGTTAAGATGCTGGCTCGCTAGCCTGGAGGTCGGGTTTCGATCCCTGCATTGGTAGAGAAAGTTCATCTGGATTTTCCGACGTGGTTCCCCCTTGTCAGTGGTGCAGAACGGAGGGCCTGACAAGGACAGCTGTCTAGTCATTCGGATGAGACGAAAAACCGAGGTCCCGTGTATACATTGGAATGCACGTAAAAGATCCCTTGGCAGTTGGAATTCGATATAAGAGTAGGCGATAGTGCCACTGCCCGGGCAAAATTTCCCTCATAGCACACTGTATGGTGTATGCCCGTCTTCATTAGCCCAGTATAGGAGCAGAACAGTAGGACGTTAAACCCCATTTCATTTCATTTCTCATTACTGACGAAAGAAAAAATATGCGACAACACTTGTTGACTACCTGGACGACTTAGCTGCTGTGTGCGTATGTTTTTTTGCATGGCAACCTATCTTTTAATACTAAATCTATGTACAAGCCTAAAGGTAACTATAGAGTATATACAGAGTAATATGAGGTGCTAAACTTTTAACCTGAGGTAGATAATCTATCAATCATCTGACTTCCATTGTTTTAATGATAATATCTATAGTATATTTATATTTTAGTGTTAAGTGTTGGAGATCAAGGTTTTTATGAAGGTAGAAGTAATGGTAGAGAGAGTTGGTTTCCTGGTGGTCCAGTCCAAGATGGCCAGCTAAGAAGAGGTTAGATTCTTTTTCTTTTTAATTTCTTATAGATGTGCTACTTTAATTATTGGGATTTTAATCCCTGGCTTCGGATATATAATTATTTACTAGATGCAGTAAAATATGATACTTACATTATTTTTTTAATGAATTTGTATTGTTTATAGCTGGTTCTATGGGGAATCTGATAGATGATACTGTTACAATGCATAGGAATACATTAGCAGCTTTGGTGCAACAAAATAATGGAGGGTAAGTACAGTTATCCCCCTTGACACAATATTTTACTCAATAACATTGATAATTAAAAAAATTCACATTTTTTGAAGCTGTTGATATAATAATTGTTATAAAGTTAAGTCAGCTGTTGATATAATAATTAGATGTAGATTAAAATTGTCCCTTCCTCCTTTGTCTTTATAATTTTGGTATTTATCACATTGACTACATTACATGGGATGATTAATAGCCAGTGACATCAACTTGCACATTTATTATTCTCTATATTTATCCCATGATATAAGTAGTGACAGATGTAATGAATGAAGCAGAATGTGCTTAACATTTTGAAAGTATTTTTTTTAACTTGCATAGATGTTGCCCCTTCCATCGAAATCTAGTAATTGCTCATCAGGTCTGGTTTGGCTTGTTTTTAATAAATTTCTTTTAAAAAGTGCAGGGTTTCTTGCGAAATTCTTTCCAATACTGTACTTAATTTCTGAAAACCATGACCAACCTTACGAACATTTTGGACAACTATGCTGTTGGTGGTCATATATTCGAATGCCTGGCAACCTATCTGGTATTAAAACTAAGAATATGTGTAATCATGCATCAATAAACTGCATATGTACCAGTTTGTAATGACTTTTATCTCTAGAAACTGTTGGATGAATAATTTAGATATTCGGTGCTTGCACCTTACTCAGATTAGTTTAGTACATCATGTACATATGTATATTAGATATGACCATAGAACACTTAGACCAACTCTTGACCTTATTTGTCATTCATTATTTATATACCCATACATCATGATGTAGATAAAAGTGGGTTATATATCTAGACATATATATACTTTATGTTTCCAAGATAAGTAATAACAGTACTACATATACAAACAATAGATACCTATGATATCTAATAACCTAAAGGGGAATAAATCATGGTATTGATCGCAGTGAAACTCAATATACTTTACCTACAGGTAGATTTATATATATATATATACAGTTTTGTAGATATACAAAATACAGTTACAATTAAATCAAATTTTCAATAATCTTGATCAATATCCTGTAAAATATAGCCTTTCCAGATATATTTTAGAGAATAAAGTGGGTTATATTTCTGGGAAGACTTAAAAACATTTATCTTAGTCCTGAACAATCAAGCCTGTTGGTATTTTCACAGAAATACAAAGTTTCAATTTCTGCTGATAAGTCCTGCACAACAATCTGAATGATGATTAGTCTATCGGCACATACCGGTACATGCACAACTTATAGCAGAAAGTGATTATCATGGGCGCAGATCCCGGTGGGGACACCGGGACGCGTCCCCACCAATATTTTTAGTGGTGGGGACATGATATACTGTGTCCCCACCACTTATTTCCAATGCTTTGCTTACTGTTTATTTTTTGAAATTGAAATCATTCCAGAGCTTTTATTGACATTTCAGAAAGTGTAGAGTTGGTCCCAGGCACTTGAGGCCAGGGTCCTTGAAGTTGCACAGCTGCACCCGGTGACAGATTTTTATTTAACAGGGAATATGTGATAATTCCTATTATAACAGTAAATGATTAAAATATTCCTTAGGGATTTTAATAATATGTATATCATGTAGGTGTGCATATCTGATACGTTGGGTATTAAATAACTGAGATTTTGTTTTTATCTGGTATACTGGATGATAAATCACGCAAATTATAAAATTCCAAACACGTAATTTCTAAGCCTAACATGACAAGTATGTCATTGTACCGGCTGACAAAGCGTCCAATAACTTAGTGTTTATATGTAAACGATATTATTATGACTGCCTGTTTAAAGAACTTAATTTCTGGAAATCAATCGACAGTGCTACGTATAAACGCTCTACGCTTAGTAAGGATGAAATTGTATCCAATCACAGATCTGTACTCACTTCATTTGGTACTCCATGTGGAGATACCTATACATATCTGCCCTTGTTATATTGAATACCTAAACTACATAAAAATCCCTACAAGCAACGTTTTATAGCAGGGTCATCCCGTACAGGGGCGCAGATCGCAAAAAATTGGTGGTGGGGACAGTCCATGCGCGGGCGACTATTGGTAAAGAGGGGGGTTCAGTGGTCCTCCCCCGAATTTTTTTGGAAACTAGACGCTCTAAAACGCACAATGTGGGTATTTTCAGCATCATTTTCTGGCAAACAATTCTAATCCCTGAGGCAGCAAATGATACGAAATCTAATCTAGTTCCACAAAACCACTTTCAAAAGTATTGAAATCCATACTAACGGCAGTGAAAGAGGGTATTCAAAAATACTGTGACAAAATATACTCTCATAGTGGTTTTAATCAAATGTGGATATTAAAAAATTCCAAAGAATTACTTGATGGTTTACAATCTAGATCACTTGCTTTAATCTCATCTATACAACCGTTTGACTTTTCTACTTTGTACATTAAAATTCCCCCTAGTAGATTAAAAGCTCGGTTAAAAGACATTATTCACAGTGTCATTTCATCTAAATCAGGAAATGTTAGATATCACTATTTAGTTGTTAATTACAATTCCACATATTTTGTCAAGAACCATAGTGATTCCAAAAATAAATTCACGGCCAACAAGATAATTCAGATGTTGGATATTTTAATTGATAATATCTTTGTTGAATTTAGAGGGGAAATTTATCAGCAAGTGGTAGGTATCCCCATGGGCACCAACTGTGAACCTTTGCTTGCTGATTTGTTTCTCTATCCCTACGAAGCCGATTACATACAGGCACTTGTAAAATCAAATAAACGATTAGTCAGACATTTTAATTTCACTTATCGATATATTGATGATGTTCTATCACTGAATAATCCAAAATTTAGTGATTATGTAGAATTCATATATTAAAAACACTACTGACGGTGTCAATTACGCTTCCTACTTGGATTTGCGTCTCGATTTTGACAATTGCCATAAACTTAGTGTTAAATTGTACGATAAACGTGATGACTTTGACTTTCCGATTGTTAACTTTCCATTTATTAGTAGTAACATTCCAATATCACCAGCTTATGGAGTGTTTGTGTCTCAACTAATTCGTTACGCGAGAGCTTGTTCATTTTATTTTGATTTTTTAAGTAGATCGAGGCATTTGTCATCTAAGCTTCAACTACAGGGATACTTGCGAACTAAACTTATTAAAACCTTTAAAAAGTTTTATGGCCGTCATATTGACTTGCTTGGTAAATATAACATGTCTCTCTCGGCTATTATTCTAGATATATTTAATTGACTCGTATACTATCCCTGATAATGTCTGTCTACTACATCGTTAACACTGTTCATCACGTGCATTTTGCATACCGATAGTCCATTGGCCAATCACGCTATTTTACCGAGATTTCGCCTAATAGTTTGGATGCAGCTATGGCGGGTGTGGCGCCAGGCAGGGTAAGCTTACTCTTCCGGACACCTGTTACCACTGTTTGTCGTGTATTTTGTACACGGTGAACAGTCCATATGCTGATTACACTATTTTGCCTTATTACACTATTTTGCCTCTACCATTTTTTTAGGACTTCGAATTTTGTCTGATGGTTTGGATTGTTCGTACTTGGTTTTATTTTATTATCACCACTGTCACATTCAAAATAGATAATATAATACAACTGGTACTTTGTGAATCATTAAAATAGCTATGGGAACAATATAAACAGCTAGATTTAACTTTTAAAACAAAAGCGAAAAGTTATTATTTCAATGTGGTCATCATTTTTGAATTTTAAGGTGGGAAAATTCGCCTTTGCCATCAGATTTTTAATCACCGATGTTTTGCTCTGTGTGTGTGGCTTGTTTTAGTTTATATAAATTAAAAGATTTGTAGGCCTGTACATTTGTGTATCCAATTGAGTACACATTTTGCTCAAAGATATTACGTAGTCTTCGACCACTACTTGGAATGGAGGCGGAGCTGGAATCTCAGTAGTGTAAATATTTCTAGTTCTTGTAGTGTACATGAGAGAATAAATCGTGAACGGTGGCTTGAAGATTTGTCTTTAGATTAGATTTCATATCATTTGCTGCCTCAGGGATTAGAATTGTTTGCCAGAAAATGATGCTGAAAATACCCGCATTGTGCGTTTTAGAGCGTCTAGATTTCAAAAAAATTCGGGGGGGGGGGGCCACCAAACCCCCCCTCTTTACCGATAGTCGCCTGCGCATGGACTGTCCCCACCACCAATTTTTGGCGATCTGCGCCCCTGGTGATTATCGCAACTGCTTCAAGCCTCTCGTCCAGATGAACAGTAGAATTCCATTAAGCAAATCTTCTGATTTCTTCCTAGCAGCTCAATTAAATCTGCTATCATTTGCTTATTACTATTTATCAAAAAAAATGCATGACTCAATATATTTATTTCTTTACTTTTTTGCACATGATTTGCATTGGAATCTAGGATTCCACCTTTAATTAATGGTTAGTAGATCATTAATCTCAAATGGAAAAGGGGATCACGTGGCTAAGTGGGTAAGACGCTAGCTCGCTAGCCTGGAGGTCGGGTGTTCGATCCCTGCATTGGCCGAGAAAGTTCATCCAGATTTTCCGGCGTGGTTCTCCCTTGTCAGTGATGCAGGACGGAGGGGCTGACAAGGAAAGCTGTCTAGTCATTTGGATGGGACGAAAAACCGAGGTCCTGTGTACACATTGGCGTGCACGTAAAAGATCCCTTGGCAGTTGGAATTCGATATAAGAGTAGGCCGTAGTGGCGCTGTCCGGGCAAAATTTCCCTCATAGCACACTGTATGGCGTATGCCCGTCTTCATTAGCCCAGGTTAGGAGCAGAACAGTAGGACGTTAAACCCCATTTCATTTCATTTCATTTCATTTCAAATGGAAAAAAAGGATATCAATGATAACTTCCAATTATAAGATTATAAATTCTTTGGTACATTTGAAAGGCCAACATTTCTTGTTGAAAGCTGTCCTTCATATGAAATATTGGCATACTTGTTAAATCCATTGTGTGCATTTAATATGTACTCCAGAGC